AAAATATTCAACAATAATGCTCATTAAACTTTGAAATCTTTATGTTCTATTCTATATCATTGTTGGACAGAAATAGAATAAAACATTATTCTTCTACATTAATTCCACATCACCATTGGGCAGAAATGGAATTAACGTATAGAAATTCAATAATCTTGAAAACATAGTACTGCTCCTCAAAATTAAATTCTTCCGTTGGTTCGAATTTAATTAGAAGACAATCAACTTCATTGCAGCGGAAACATGAAAATACATTTCTTTAGTTTAAGAGCATTCCTTGATCTTTATCTTTTCTCTGAAAAATTGGTCACTTTGATGTAAAATTCATCAGAGATTTAAACTTTAAACATAAAACTCATAGAATTATAATATTGTTATCATCAACGTTGGTCAGAAAATAACAATACCATAATTTAACTTTAAACTTAAACTTATAATATTGTTATCATCAACGTTGGTCAGAAAATAACAATATTATAATTTATCTTAACTATCAACAGACTATTCCTCCAATTAATTTTTTTTAGCTGGTTCCAATTTTAACTGGAGGATAAACTTTTCACCATTTACTGAATAACTATAACTGCTCTTCAAATTAGAAGACAATAAACCTTTAACTTTGCAGCGGAAACTCGACACAATTTCTTTTCCTACTTTTCAGAAGCATTTTTCTATACTTTTCTACTCTTTGAAAATTCTAACACGTTGGTGCAAAAATTATCAGAGATTGTAAATCATTCTTTCAATGAAATCATCAAAATTTGCTTCTGAAAAATAATAAAACAATTCTTCATCACCACTGTGCATTCGGCCCAACCGGAGATACAGCCCAGGCTCATTCTTTTCTTTTCTCGGCCCAAGACAATGAGGTTTGCTTTGGCCCAAAACGGCATCCAAATTGCCTTGCTCCCTCACAAGCTCTCGCCACCAGGCATATAGTGTGGGCCTAGGCCGAAGAAAGCGCCCGACGCACAGCTTCACTTTGGGCCGCGATGCAGCCCGCTAGATCTCAGCCGTCCGTGCGCATCCGATGGCCGAGCGCGCATCTAGGGCGAACAAAGCCACCGGGTCGGCGCTTCCCCCTGTAACCCTAGCCTCATTCTCTCCCTCCCCTTCTCTCTCATCCGCGCCGAGTGCAGCCAGCAGCCGCGCATGGCGTCCAGAGGAGGAAGTGGATATGGCGCCCGCCGTCATGCTTGTGGCTGCTAAACTGCCTGGCACCACCGTCGAGGAGAGCCATGGTGGTGCCCTTTGCAGACTGAGCCCGCGCGATGGCGTAGCTCGGCCGTCTTCCCGCATGCCGGCGAGAGCCGACACCGCAGTCTTTTTCCCACACGGTGGCGATGCGTGCGTGGGGATGGATGAAGGCCTGTAGGACCACTGTGTTCGTTCTCATCTTTCTTTGGGATTTGGGGATTCTAGGGTTAGGTTTGGTGAAATTTCGAATCGATTTGAATCACCTTCTTCTCTCTTTTCTTTCTATTTCTTTCCCCGAGATCTGGTCGCGGGTTTAGGGTTCGGATCAAGCGGTCTTGAAGCCGAGCCCCTTCCAACTTCACCCGGTTAGGGTTAGAGACTGTTCTTCTTCCCCACGCGGCGTCCAAAGTCTGACGACGACGAGTGGTGGTGATGAAGGAGGATCCCAGTGTAGGAAAAAACCCTTCCAATCCGTCCTTTCTTTCTTGATTCGAGATCACAGCTTAGGGGTAGGGTTACGGTGCATTTCTTTCCGATCCGATCCGGATCGGTCAATCTTTCTTTCTTTCTTTTTTTTCTGTCCCGATCTAGATCTACTTAACTAGGCTGGGATTTTAGGGTTAGGGTTCTTTGTTGAAACCGTGTTTCAATCTCATCCCCATTTTCCGTACCCCATCTAGGGTTAGGGTTCGATTTGCTTTTCTTTCCCGATCTAGATCCACATACTAAACCTTGCTCTGGTACCATTGTTAGCTAGTTTGGATCATCTAGTAGTGGAACCGATGGGTGAGTTCTTTTCTAACCAATCACATAGACCTAGAGTTTGCTTCGGGAGTAGGAGACAGAGAGAGAGGGAGATGTAGGAGCATCTGACCGTCGGAGGAGCTCCCTGCCTTCGCTGGTTCGCCGGTGATGATCTGCGCTAGGGCAGCGACGTTTGGTGTAGCTGTGGAGACCGGCGGTGGTGGAGGCAGTGGCGCTTCCCGCCGTTGGCAGTGCCATCCTCTGGATCGGATTAGGGTTAGGACAGTGGGACTTTGGCGGCGGTGAACCTCGTGTCAAGAGCCGTTTGCCCCACCTCCTCTTTATATGCACTGTGCGACGGGGGCCCACCAACCACTAGATGGCTGGACGTCCCCGATCAGGACACAATCAAAGGGTCTGTCTCGACCGTTGGGTCAAGACGGATGAGATCAATTCTAACATCAACATCCCCCACGACCGTGGCTGCTGCACTGCGTGGTGGTGCCGCCAGACATCGGGCACGGGCAGATCTTACCAGACTCCAACCCACGGTGGAAGGGTGTCGATTCTTCGGTGTTCATGAGGGAAGCTGTGAGTTTCTCTTCTATCTTGTGCCGAGTGCTAGTTGAATGCTTCGTCGTAACAAAATGTAGAGTTCCTGCAAGCATGATAGGATATTCAGAAAACAGTTGAATTGTCCCTACCGGTTGATATGAGGCGTGTCAGAGTTTATGATACTATGTGCAAAATTGGACGGTTCCTGTGTGTTTGAAGTGCTTTATCAATTATTTTTAGATTGATTACCTGAAATTTGCTGAATAACTCGAAATTTCACATCATATAGCATATCGTGTTCCGTAATAAGTTTCTCTACTTTTATTTGTTCTAGACATATAGCCTTTTGTGAACAAAATGTAGGAGTACCTACGTGTCTTGTGGTATTTGGAGTAGAGAACATACTCAAAATCCATCCTTGAAAACACCATAGTTTAATTCTTGCATACTTCACTGTTTCACTGGTCTATATTTCCTGTATCTTAAACATGCCTAGCCTGTTGTACAAGATGTCTGGACAGTTCTTACATGGGTTGCTGACTGTGGAAACGTGGTCTTTGACCTTTGGACACTTCAAAGGCTCCGTTCGCTTGTCTGAAAAAAGAAACCAAAACACTGTAGCGGCTGGTTGTGTGAGAGAGGAATACTATAGCGGCTGGTTGATGAATAGTACCGCTGTGAGGAGAAACCAGCCGGCTGGTCTGAAAACCAGCCAGCCGAACGGCACCAAAGGCAGAAAGTATTCCACGTTTTGGATTTTTGAACTAGGCATGGGCCATGTGCATAGAATGCTGACTCCGCAGTTACTTTGGGTGCTTTTGTACCCGCTAGATCCCAATTCTAATGGTCACATGCCTTAGAATTGGAATCATCCTCTGATCTTTTCTACATAGGTCCACTTGACCATTAAAATTTAGCTTAGTTCCAATTTAGCATTAGTTCGTTAAAAAAATTATTTAGCATTACACTGTATTAGTTGCCCTTTTAGTAATTTCAAGCAATCTGAGCAGGATGTTATCTAATCAGAGCATGATTGTTTCCTCTTCTCGTACTAGAACTGTGCTATAGTCTGTGATACAAAACCTGATGAAACTGATGCCGCTGTCATGTTAACATATTTGGATTCTCATGCAATTTCAGGTGAAATTGATGCATGAAGCAGGCTATGAGCTGGGCAACCTGCTTGATGCTACACTGATCTTGCGAAACCAAAAATCAGTCCATTCAAGGAGACAATCTGATCCAACTTGTGTGACCTACTCGGGGCAGATCCATCTGTCGTCAATCTCAGGGCCAAGACACACGAGAAGGTTGACAGTCTAGGGGAAAACAGATGCGGAAGTAGTGAGTTGTATCGTATTACAGGGATTGAACTGTGGCGAACAAAAGGCTGTTACGTTTTACCTCCTTAAGTGATAAGTCACTATGGGGATCATCATGCTGGAGGAACAATAATGCTAAATGCAATGATGAGTTTTCTGTATTTAGATTGTGTTTCGTTTATTTGCCCCATGGACTTTCCACCTGTTCCTACAATGTGTCAAACTGTCAATGACGCTGAGTTTTCTTGCCATTGAGGTTCATATTGATAGAAGAGGTCTGAGTGAGCATCCAGTAAAGTTCATTTATATCAAATATATTCCTTTAACCTAGCTTACCAGAATGGAGCCAGAATTGCGAAATGTTCACCAGATACACATAAAATTGCAGGTGAAAGTCAACCCAGCAAGTGGGTATCGCTCTGACTGACCAACAAGCTGCCGCTGGTATTTCACTCAGTCAGCATGAGGTCTCGATCCCTTTGCCGTGAAAAGAAAGCCTTTTACTCGGGGGTGCCGTTTGGTGAGCTTGAGAGGCCAGAACCAAACATCTTGCAAAATGCAAAGGTACACATGCAACCCGGTATCGAAAAATTGTAGTAAATCATTTTAGGGGAAAAGAGCAGAGCAAACTGAATTTTCTTGCCAAATCAAAACAGCCCATTTCTTTCTTCCACAACGGCAAAGCCGAATTTCATTACTCGTAAGCAACGAAATTAGAGTTTGTAATGCAGAAAACCAAAAGAAAACGAACTCGCAGACGGCCGCATTGGAGTGAACACAAAGGTTTCAACCAATGGGCAAAACCTGACCTACTGTTCCAAAAAAAAATGATAAACTGCAACGTTAGCCGTCCAAATCAGCCCCGCATCATCCAAAACCAAACGAAGAAACTTATTACATGCCCCCTACGGCAGTTTGACAGCTCGCAGGCTGCACTCAGTCTTCCAGCAAAACAGCCCATTTCAGTCATTCATCACGATTGAAGTGATCCAAAAGTTCAGCAGGCCATACTACCATCATGTGATGGGCAGTGTCTACGCTCCTTCGAGCCGGTGAGCACCTTCATCCGCCCTTCAACACGGAGAAGGCAAAGTGGTCATTTAAAAAAAGAAGAAGAAAAAGACAAACTGGTCTAACAATCTCTTCTTGTCATGGTTGCCGACTGGTCAAAGCCGCGATAGATCATGCGATCAGATCCATCACATCCTCCATTGTCAAATTTTGCTGAAAAAGGTAGAAAATAAGAAGTATCGTACAGTGTTAGTTACACGTGAGCAGCATGAACAGGTTGTTGGAAATAGAGATGTTACATAGGCCTAAGGGGTAGGGCCAATTCTACGATTATAAAAGCATCGGTTTGACAGCCTGTGCCACAAAAGTTTTGAGCATGTGTTTTTCTAAATTGTAGTATCTGTTACTTGACTAAGTGTGTGCCGGTGAGCGCAATACAAATCGACGTACCTGCTGCTGAACACCAACACATCTCTTCAACACCCCCAGGATTGTTCTAGGATGAACAGCATATGTGCAGCCAACTTCACCTCCTGCTATCATTGCCACAACGCCCCTCTTCGATAGGATTGGTCCACCAGACATCCCTTCCATACCATTACAACTCAAGAGAGCATGGTATAGCGGGATACGCTTATACCTATAGAGCATGGCAGTCCCCCTTCAAACAGAAAAAACAATTACGTCAGTGTCAGCATAAGACCAGACTAGAAACTAGAAGCTGCAGCGCAAGTAGGACAGACGAACACACCTGACACACCCTGGATTGATGGCAGGAATCCTGGAGTAACACGAGTCAGCGAAGAGGTCGTCTGGGTCGCAGTACCCAACAGCAACAATACCCTCTCCGGCGATGGGATCCTCCGGCGAGAACCTCAATGGGGCTGCGGCTGTCAGTCCTGGAACCCTGAGAATGGCGACGTCCATCTGCGTGTTCATGTGAATGATGCTGGCGGGAAACTCCTCCACTCCCACCGGAAGCATCATCCTCACGCGCAGTCCGTCACCAGGGCTCAGCTCGCCGCGCACCACATGCTCACACGTGAGAAGGAAGGTTTCTTGGGCCTGGAGATAAGGATGAAAACGGTCGGAAACGGTATTACAGTATAGAAAACGAAAGCGGTCGGTTCGGGATATTTCTACATTTTAGCAATTAACGAGTACAAAAAATGGTTGTGAAACCAATTGAAACTGACAAATTTTTATGTTTGGCAAAATTCGGAAACGATATCATAATATAGAAAACGGTATCATAATATAGAAAACGAAAGCGATCGGTTCGAAATATTTCCGTACTATTTTGATCCTTACCTGGAGATCGACTTTTATCACGAAAGAAGATCCTATCTGGATGACAGTTTCTTCCACCCCGGTCTCATCCTTCTCGATTGTCTTCACGATGACATGGAGAACGCTTTTCCTCACAGCCATCACTCTGCGATAAGCCATCCAGTCAGGATGGGCCTTCGCCGTCCTCCTATTAAAACATTTTGATTTGGGTTACTATTTTATGGAAGCATGTTTGGACACAACATTTTAAAAAAACGACATTTTTGCAGGACTTGAAAATCAACAGCCTACTAAGAAACTCAAGGCTATACTCTACTTCCCATCCCAGCTCGTAAGTAATCCTATGTCTGTATTAGCCTTTGAACAACATGGGCCATGAAAGGACCGGAGAAGGAATGCAGTAGGATGACAAGCACTATTTCGACCGTAGGTCTGGGGAGGAAAAAGTCTCTTCTGGTTCCTCAGAACTATTATTGACTGAATCTACGATGGATGAATGGGGGAGAGGCGCATTTCCAGCTTAATACGGCCCAAAAAACAATTAACCACTAAGCATGTCACTACACTTAATCTAACAACCAACATTGTTCAAAAAAAAAATCTAACAACCAACACAATGGGGTTTAGAAAAACGGGGGTTTTGGAGGGTGGAGACACCTCTCTCCCTCTCACCTCGCCTAGCCGTCGGATGTTTAGGAGCTGGTGGCCGGCAGGCAAGCCGGACTTGATTTGCTCTGCCCTGAGGAGCCGGGCAGCAGGGTGGAGAGGGAAAAAAAAAGATTTTTTTTTCTTCCTTCCACGGGGACCGGGGGGCCGGGGGTTTCTTCAACCTCCCACTGCCGAGTGCCGTGCGGATTGGGGAGATCCGCGCGAGCTCGGGAGACAGGACAGGATGCACTAGCGAGCAAGGTAGCAAACGGTACAAGATGCTACCGCGATCTCGACCACGGAGGCACACGTACGCTCAGATAGAAGGGTGGGGGTGGGGGTTGGGGCGGGGTGGTGTTACCTGCGCGCCATGGGGTCGGAATCGGTGACGGCTGCGAGCTCCTCGCGTCCTCGTGCTCGGCGGCGGCGGCGGCGGCGGCAGCTGTGCAGGACGGCCGTCCGTTTCCTTCAGGATTTGAGGAGAGCGGCCGGGGGTGAGGAGAGCGGCCGTGAAGTTGCTAGGAGCAGACGCACCTTTTTGCTCTTTGGGGGAAGAAGAAATCTGACGCATGGAGGGCCACAAGCAGTGAGAGAAGTGAAAGTATGGGTGCGCGTTCCCCCTCCAAAGATGATGTATTTCCATATAGGTCCTTGAGCCAGTCATCTTTTTAAAATAGAGAATTGACTGTTCAATACAGTATTTTCTTTCTTCTCCGATACTTAATAGAGCCGCGTATATTTGTACAGCAATGCTAGCGCCAGGAGTCCCAACGGACGTCCGTGCCTGCACGCCGCCCAACTACACGTGGGGGAGTCCCGCTCATGTTCCCGTCCTGCTCATGTTCCCTCTGTTTCTCACGAATCTCATCCCCTCGCCTATTTGCTGGAGCATCCATCATGGAGGCTCGTCAGCTTGGTGGAGGCGGTTGCAACTCGCCAGCTCGGTAGAGGCGGTAGCGGAGAGCGGGCTAGCCATGGTGAGGAGGCAGCGTGGTGTAGGCGTTCGAGGCGCTGCGGGGGACCGGCGGCGGCGAGGTGAAGTGGGGTGGGCGGATGGGCACGGCGACGTAGAGAGGAAACGACGCAGCGAGCATCGGGGCGCGCGGAAGGGACGAGCGAATAGGGTCGTTTGGCGAGTGGCGTGTGCCGGAGTGAGCGGTGGGAGGTGTCCGTCCGTCTGGACGTCTTAATTGTATTATTTTGTATCAAGAAGAATGAAAATAAGAGGCACACTCGCACACACGGAATGCATTTGCATGCACTGAGGGAACTTAACTGGCTATTACACGGTTTAAACAACTTGTATGCTAAGAGTTACGACTCACTAAACAAGCACCAGTTATGGATGGGAACGGGACGGGTCGAACAATTGGGTAGTTGACCCGACCCACAAAAATAGAGCCAATAGATCATAGGGGTTGGCCCTAAATTCTAAAATGGGTCAACAATGTCTGAACCTATCTACCCAATGGATACCATGGGTTGACCCACTCGTCATGTTAATAATTTTTTGTTTAAATTATTAGTGTTCTTCATTTTTCGAATAAATACCATTGGTCATAATTTGTAAGATTGTCTCCGATTGGAAGTATAGTGAGAAATATCATATTTTGGAAGTGAAAAATGATAAAATTAGAATCATGGTTGACCTGCAAATTTATTTAATTGGGTGCTGTCGAGATTATAAACATCCATGTATGTCTAATCTCAGTTTCAGGTGGTTCCCGATCATCTGGAGACTCCCCGGCCTATCCCCCGGGATAGCTCGGGGGCTTGAGGGCTGTGCCCACCGGGCACGGCTCGCGCACCCTCTCGACAGAGGGTCTGGACGAGCCTGACCCCGCAACGCCTTCGGTCTGAGGCTCGGGGTAGGCTACCCCGAGCCCTAGGCACATCGACGACACGTCCGACCCTTGGCTCCTGCCCGGCTACCGATGCCAGCCAAGGCCCGGGCGCAAGAAGACGAGCACCCAGGCTACCAATGCCCGAGGCATGCCCTTGCCAGCTGCACCTCCAATAGGGTCACGTTCGGGGCGTGACACAAGAAGACAAAGCCTCCCAGCGGCCTCCGGGGGTTGGTGGACCTCTGGGCCCATGCGCCAGCCTCCGGAGCCGACCTTCGCCTCCACCGGGAAGACTCCAGAAGGTCTCACCCAGGGGAGGCCAGTCCAAGCCGACAAGACCAGACACTCAGTGTGTCAGGGCAGAACTGCCAGAAGATGCCCCAAGCTTCTTCGGTGCCAAGACATCGCCTCGGTCCACGACGCTCCACTACAAGGCCACCTTGGACTTCGGTGCACATAGACCGTAGGCTAGCAACCACAACCGCCTTGTACCCGACCCCTCTCATTATATATAAGGGACGGGGTCGACCCTTAGAGGGGATCCCAATTCCACAACTCTACATCCACAGAACACAGAGAGCCTCGCTAAACTGCCTTCTCTGCTCTGTTCACCGCAGGTGAAACTCCCTAGTTTGGTTTTGGCTAATTGATGAAACCCTAGTGCTAATCCTTTGGCTAGGTGATTGTAGTAGATAAGGTTAGCACATCTCAAGTGGTGGAGCCTAAGTGATCATGAGGCACACTTGGAGAAGAAGATGGAGAAGGAACCAATCCCTATGGAGCTCAAGGCAAAGGTATAAGCTAGGGTTTTGGTTTTGGTGATCAAGACACCATAGAGGGTGTGATCACGTTTAGGATCGATTGCCGTACTATAAAGGGGGGAATCCTTTGGCTATGTGATCAAATAAGTGCCACTAGATGAAGTCTTACATGCATTGCATTTAGGATCTAGTGGAGAGCTAACATAACCCTTGAAAATGTTTGTGAAAATATGCTAACACATGTGCACAAGGTGATACACTTGGTGGTTAGCACATTTGATCAAGGGTGGCGAAGTTGGGGAAGCAAATGAGTTGATTCTCATTGATAAAGAGCGACCGGATGCTAGGCAGCGCGTCCGGTGCTAAACCCTAACAGCGCGTAGAGAAGCTAAGGCGTGACCGGACGCTGGCTTGGCCATCACCGGACGCGATGCTCCTTGTCAGGTCCGTGCTGACGTAGGCTGACGTCGGCATGCAGAGAAGGGCAATGCAAGGACCGGACGTTGGGCGCGTCAGGTCACCTCTGACCAGATGCGTCCGGTCATTAAAATCCTCTCTGCATGGTTTCTGGACGCGATCGAACGTGCTGTAGGGCGGCGTCAAGTGCGGAGTGCCGGCGCGTCTGGTCAATGTTTGACCTCTGCGCTGACCGTTTTCGACCGTTGGAGATCAACGCGTAGTATTTGATGAGGTACACGTGGCGATCATCGAGCGCACGAGCGGGGACACGACCGGGCGCTGGGGTTCGTTCGGTGCCTTCTGATCGGCGCGTCCGGTCACCCCGAAAAGGCTCCCCTCAGTGCCTAACGGCTCTATTTGTTTGGGGGTACCTATATATATGTGTTGGCTGGCTCTTTGAGGGGTCTCTTGGCATTTTGATCATCTTGACATCCTCTTGAGCTGAGCACACTCCCTCGCACTCATCTCCCTTGCTTGGTTGCTAATCCAAAGTGAGATTGAGTGATCCAAGTGCATTTGCATTATGAGTTTGCATCTTGTGGCACTTGGGTGATCATTTGGCTACGGGATTCTTGTTTCTCTTGGTGGTTGCCACCACCTATACAACTTGGAGTAGCAGAGGAGGTCCGGCATGAGTTGGTGATTGTTCGTGGTCGGCTCCGGCGATCTTGTGAGGGGTTCTTGGGCTTATTCCCCGACGAAGCGCCAAAAGCCACTCTAGTAAAGTGCTCATGTCATTGAGCTACCTCACTTGTGGTAGGTTCTTGCGGTGCTCTTAGAGAGCTTGGGTGTGGATTCCCAATTAGCCGCCGAACCATGAGGTATAGGTCGACACAACGGGGACTAGCGTGCCGGCAAGCACGTGAACCTCAGGAAAAAATTGCGTGTCATCTCTTGTGTTGATTGGCATTCTCCCGATGATTGGATATCGTCATATCTTGATTGGTTCACTCCTCTACGCATCGGTATAAAGAACATCACTCCTCCTTTACATTCCACAAGTTATTTGTTCCTTATCTTGCTTGTCTCCTTTGCTTAGCTTGTTTAGCTCGTTTAGTTGCTTAGCTAGGCTCTTGTTTACTAGAGTAAAGTAGCAACTTAGCTTTGTGTGAACTAGTGATCATAGCGACTAGCATTGTTGGGATAATGATGAGGACATCGCCATGCTGGACACACCGACGCCATGGTCTTCCCCAAGTTGCAATTCGTTCCCAACTCAGCTGCCACGTCGCCCTCGGATTCAGCAGACACGTCGTCACTGTTTCGATCATAACTTTCTCATACGACATCGAAACGGGCCGTTCTTGGATGCGTTGGAAAGGGGATGACGACGCTGTCGTTTTGGATCTGGTCCCAGCTCCAGAAGGTCCGTGGATCATTCTGTGTGACCACGGCAAGGTGCTGCGTCACCTATTTGGGCCAACTTGGCCATGTATCGTGTCGGGCCTTAAGCCCAAGTTGTGGGCGCCCAACCCCTGGCCGTCCCCAACCCTAGGTCGAGTCTTAGACTATAAACACAGCCGTCGCCGCTGCTACACAATTGGGTTTTGTTTAGAGTTTAGTTTTCCATCGAGAAACTGAATCGTTCATTGTAACTGTGGTGACAAATCCTTTTACAGTGATCCAGGGCCCCCATTCTTGATCTCCTCCACTGTGTCGATTAGTCCTTTGAAACCGAGTTCTAGAACCCTCTATTGATATTCGCGTCATTCATATTTGCAATATCAGATTGCGTGTTTTACCTTCTTGCTTGTGCTCTTCGATTCGCTTGCAGGAGAAGCCTTCTTGGCGAGGTCAATCAAGTTGTGCTTGGTTGATAACCAACGGAGCAGTGGTGTAATGGTTGCAGGGTTCGAATCGCGTCTGATTTGAAGCCGGATCGCCAATGTCGAGATCTCCACAAATCAAACTTACCGGCTACCTCTCGGAAGATCGGGCCTGTACTCATCAGATAGGAGGCTTGCAACCCCTTGTAGAGCTATGCAAAAAGCTTAATCGCCATCTTTATTACTAACGGTTTGTTCTAAGTGGTTTGTAGAGTTTTTAATTTAGGCTATTCACCCCCCTCTAGCCAAGTAGGACCTTTCAAGTGGTATCAGAGCCGTGGTCACCATTATTTGAAGGGTTAACAACCTCGATGTTCTAGATATGGCTCAAATTGTGTATGTGGGGGGCAAACCACCGTTCTTTGATGGCACAAGCTCTTTTGATTATTGGAAGAGGAAGATGAAGATGTACCTTGGGTCCATCAATGATAGAGTGTGGGATGTCATCGAGAGAGATTATGTGATTCTTGATCCCAACAACC